CCTGGATTTTCATTACCCACAATGCAACTTGATAACATCTTTCATTACATCCTCCCTGCCTGATAACCTCCAACACAGTTTGTAACGCAGGCCTTTTGTCATACATTTTTACTTTTAATCTACTAAAATGGTTCAGGGCAACTGTACGCAGAAAAAAACTCAGCCGGGGAGAGAGAAATATTCTGAAAAAATGGGTTTAAGCTCTTTTTTGTGGACCTCTATATTTCATAATCAAGACAATAAAAAACTGGCAAATTTACGAGAAAAAAACTCAGATATTCTCCGAGATTGAGTAGCAAATTTACGAGAAAAAACTCTCAAGATTGCAAGATTACAGAGTCATAAATTAATGACAAAAAAAAGTAGAAAAAATAGTGGAGTGTAAAACCGTTGGCCTCTGAGCGAGGCGAAGATCCTGAGAGATACATACACAGTTTTTCTTTCATGCTCTTTCTGTGTTCTTTTATGAACATAAATATATATTATAGTAGAAATTACAGGAAGATACAGATGAACAACTTCATATTATGTGACAACACAAAGGCGTGTGTCTTTTATTTCTTAATTTTGTTTTTTCCTTCAATGGCCCTTTAAACTACAAACTAAAGGAAGCGTAAATAATAGATGAATACATTATAGTTTTATATAGGACAATATATAATACATCATTACATATGCCAAAACACAACTGAACTACAGGAGCATATGATGTATTGTCAAACATATATTTGCATGCATCATGTATCTATTTTGCTATCACTGAAAAATAACCCAGAAAGAAAAATACAGTGTAGTGCACAATTAGTATGATGTCTAAAAGCACTTGGAGCCCGTAGGGAGAGAGAAGAGGAAAGGATATCATCAAGGCATTTAACTAATTACTGGATCTTTTATGAATAATAATAATAATCTGGCAGAGAAGTAAACTTTTTCAGGATGCTCGCATGTTCGTGCTCTCCGCGTCTCTGTCTCATTTGCTGCTTCCTTCTCACTTTCTCTTTTTCACCTCCTTCTTCACCCCTGACTGTTTCTCACATCACAGTCACTTTTCCAACTACAGCTTTTGCAGGAATACTAATAGCGCTGATCTGAAAACACTGGTTTGAACTCTGGGTAATTGGTGAAGAGTTTAAAATTGGAGCTGCCACTGCAAAGGTGTGTTGCCAGACTTCAACTCCTGTTGGTGACTCAGGGTTGCTATTCCTAGTCCTCAAACTTTTCAATGCTGATTGTGAAAGTATCTGTATTATAAAGTCTGACAATAAAGTTGTTCTGCATACAAGTGATTCCTCTTCTCCATGCACCTTGGAAGTAGGCAGGTGGCAAACTCAAGTTCTGAAAAATGAAACCAATGCTGATGCACCTTAAACTTCATCAGGGGGCGACTCCTCTTGTTGCAAAAAATAAGTCTGATGTCTATGAAAAAACGACCCTACCAGCAAACATTGTAAACATGAGTTTATGGTCTCAATCGATAGTTTCAAATCTTCTTTAATACAGCATGATGTTCATTCTGGTCCATTTAGAGTCAAATAGACGATACAGCAGGGTATGCTTTAGGGCGGGGCTACCTTGTGATTGACAGGTCGCTACCACGCCATTGTCCAGTCTGGGAGTTGTCCTTGTTTTCATCTCACAACTTTAACCCTTTCACACTGTGTTTTCATTTTATGAAAGTTATTTGTAACATTTTTGGTTGCCTAAAAATGAGTTATTCAGCATTTGGTTTTATTTAGATCCATCCTCTCGTGTCAATTCTGGTTGCAAAAAACAACCCGCCAAAAACTCAGCAAAGCCCACAAACCATTGGGTCATGGTGACTACATCTATTTCTCATAAACAGTCTATGGAAGCGGAAATCCCTACTCTGCTCCTACAGTCCTGTATTTTAACACAGTAACACTTTGAGGAGGAACACCAGCTCAGCGACAGTAGCAGCACTTCTTCAATGACTGAATTTGAACTATATCATCCTTACAAACACCCCAAACACTGTTTCAGCCCATAGAGTGAGTGAGCAGGGAAGTGGACACCTAAGCCTCCTAATGCCACACTGCAGTGGGGACCAACTAGGGCGTAGAGGGAAATGGCCCGTGTCAGACAGCCAAACATCGCTGTTTCTCATTTCAATCCCTGCTTTCTTTACCTCTCTCCTTCAGTGTCTGGCTGCTCTTGTCCCCTTCTGCTCTTTTCCTCACAGTTAATACCTTATGTCGCCTTTGTGTTTCCTTTGTGTTCCCTCCCTTCTCTCTCTCTCTTCCCCGCTATCTCTTCCTCTCTGTGTCAAAATCATTGAGGTGTAAATTCACATTAGTGTGAGCATTCCTCCCAGACAGGAGCTCCCAATGACTGGCTATATAGGTCACAGTAAACTGTGTTTCAGCACGTGTGTGTATGTGAGGCCACCTCTACTCCCTCATATAGTTATAAGCATATGGGCAGGTGTGTGTGTGTGTGTGTGTGTGTGTGTGTGTGTGTGTGTGTGTGTGTGTGTGTGTGTGTGAGAGAGAGAGAGAAGTGTGAAAAATATTTCTCATCTCACAGCTATCTCACACATGCTGAGATACAAACCCCAAAACACATTTATATTTCAGAAGTGACCTCCCTATAGCAGCTCATATAAAAACTAAATATATTGCATGTGAGTTTTTCCTCATTCAGAGTGGCAGGTGCTTAACACCTCTGGTAATAGAGAGCTGCAGGGATGACATATTTTTGTAGGCCAACCCAGGAAGTTAGCATCGCACTGGTTCCCTCGACAAAAAGCCGATGCCATTTTTCCACGACGTGGCGAGATGACATGTCTCATTTAGCCACTTGATAGCATCTGCCTTTATTAAGACACTTAAAAGCTTCAAAATTCACGAGTGGGTTATTTACTGACGTATTTTATGTCGTAAAACAAAACATTAGAATCTCTTCGGATATCTAACCAAAAACCCATTAAAAAAGAAAACCGAATTACTTTGAGACGAGGCAACCGGAAGTGCAACAATGCATACTCATCTCCAGGTTTTAGGACTCATTCCTGCAGCACTCTACGGTGGTTCTCAACGCTCTGGAAACTATGGCTGGATCCAAATAATCCAAAAACATTTTCTTCCCTAACCACTGACCCTTAACGGTAAACCCTAACGTTTGGTAACTGTTTTCAAATTTCCGAGATGGACCAAAGGCCAATGACAAAACTTGATACGATAATCTCTCCTGGTGCTTCTGTCACACACAATTTGAGGAGCACTTCCCCTCGATCGTCTCTGGAAATATCACCACTGTCAGACAATTTTAAGGTCAGCCTCCACTCAGGAGTGTTGTTGAGTGTGTGCTCAAGTGTGTGCATGACTGGGTTTGTGTGTGTATTGAAGGAATGCATGTGCACAGATATCTATGCAGAAACTGTGTGTGCATGTGATACTGCCATGCAAGTGACTGTGTGACATCATATGTGTGTGTGTGTGTGTGTGGGTGTGTGTGTGTAACATTCAATGTGTGCTTTGGCTCACAGTGCTATGGAAACAGAAGCCGCTCCCACCACCTGCTGTGTCATCCCTGGCTGACGCATTAGTGCCAGTCTGACTGTGAACGGTCACAGCATGTTCACCCTGAGTCTGTTGGGCAGAATTAACCTCCCAGTCTGTCAGAGGTTTCTTTCAGAGGGAATCAATAACCCAGCCCTCCATTAAATAGAAGCAACTAACTGATAACACAGCTAGAGAGTTGGAAAAACCAAATGAGTATATTAAGTATAAACTGCAACAAGCTGCAGCATCAGTCTTTCCTGGAGCTATATCGGGTGAGATTAAGGGAGACAGATAAATAGATTAACAGCATTGAATTATGGATATTTAGCCGGATTTCCAGATCCCATGGCAGAACTTTTGTTTAGTAACTCACTGGGGAATGGCACTCTTTGAGATGATTTATTTATGTCATTGCTTGCTCCAACAGCTTGGTTGTGGTTTTAAATCAATCATAACAATGCAGGGAAAAAAACAAGCGTACTCATAGATTATTGTTTGTCTTTAAATCCATCAATGTCTTAATATATATGACTAAATTGAAACATTTAATTGTGTTTGCCGTCAGTAGTATTACCACCATTTGTTGTTTAAAAGCCATTCCTGATTTGTGTAAATCTAGACTTGGATCTTGGCGTAGGACTTGAGTGCCTTGAGACTTACTTGTGACTTGCAAAGCAATGACTTTGTCCCATCTCTGGTTGATGCACAGCAAAGTAAGGTTGAAAATGGTGCTGAAACATGCCTCATATTGAAAACTGGGTTGAACTATTTCCAACGACACTCAGCCCATAGTCATCAGTGAGCTTGTCAACCATCCAGTCAGTCAACTCTCCTGTCTGAACCTCTTACCATGAGTGAGGGCAGGGTCATTCACTGGAAGTGGATCCAGTCTAAGTGATACACAGTTGCCACATCAGTTGATGAACAACCAGAGACTTGTTAGTAACAAATGGCTAATAAATGGGCATATATGTGTAATGTAGTGGACTAATACCATTAAATCCTCCTTGGGACCAACCAGTTTTACAGATCTGTTGATAAAATTGACTAATCGATTAGTCGACAAAATCGTATGAGTGTTAGTCTACTAAGAACTTCTTTGGTTGAGGACAGCCGTAGTTGCCAGTCAACAAGGACAAAAACAAGCAGGTATCTATCTAAGTATCTGTCTTGGCAAATTGGATTGAACTTGCTCAGGAGGAAACCCACTGGGACACACTGAGACCCCAGCTTGTACGTATGGTCGGGTTAAATTTGGACTTGCCAGCGGACACACTAGGCGTCTGTCACACTGGTTTGCTTATGTCATGAGAGAGCGCTTGTGTATGTGTGTGTGTGTGTGTGTGTGTGGATCTATCCTGAGGCAGTAACCTTAATCTGGAGCACAAGGGTGACAGAGGCTGAGACCAGACAGTGACAGAGATGACCTCATGCATCAGGAACAAGCACGCACACACATCTCTCCACGCTCAGCCTTACCTCTGGGGCAATGTAGTCGGGAGTGCCACAGAAGGTGCGTGTGGTCACTCCTTCTGACATGTTCTCTTTACACATGCCAAAGTCAGCAATCTTAATGTGTCCCTCCGAGTCCAGCATCACATTGTCCAACTTCAGATCCCTGAGGAAGCACACAGACGGTCTAAACATCCTTGAAGATGTTGACTTTTCTATTTGAATTTGTTTCAGCAGGTGGCTCTCAATCCCAATCCTAAATACTACTAATTCTTACACTATTTATTACAAACAAGCTCCAGTTGATACTTCAAGAAAGAGCTAATAAAACGCTTGATGCTTAAATAAAAACAAATGCAAGAGCTTTTAGTATAGGATGACTCTTTACTGCATTGTATCTGCTTTTTAATTGTTTTTAATTCATTTATATCACAAAATGTCTGATTATTAGTTTAAATGCAGCCCCTGAATCTGTTGCTGCATTGACTAGTTAACACCCACCTGTAGATGACTCCTTTAATGTGCAGGAAGAAGAGACCTGCAGCGATCTCTGCTGCATAGAACCTGCAATATAAACCACAGACTTCAAACATAAGGAAACTTACTTTGCTGTATTCCAGAAATAAGTACATGAGACATGTCAGGCTTTTTACAAGGTGGCCATATTAGTGCGGTAGCTACTTGCTGCAGTAACAACGCAGCATGCAAAATTGTTAGCCCTACACAAAGAGGTTTTAGAAGACTGAAATAATAATTATCTCAAACTACAGCAAAACAAGCATAGTAGTAGAAAGTAGAAAATGATTCACTACACAGTGCTAGTAAATTGACATGTCTTACACTGCCTGAGGTTCCTTGAACTTGCCCACTTGTTGGATATGGTACATGAGGTCTCCGCCATTCACATACTCCATGACAAAGTACAGACGGTCCTTTAATCAAAGAGATAGAGCGAATAGAAGAGAGGGTTTAGGGAGAGAAAAATATGAAACGTCATTATTTTGCACAACAAAAAAAAATGCCCGAAAAGTTCAACAAAAACTGTTAAATTACACATTTATATTCACTGCCAGTGCTCTGAACAGCTCAGTGTTGCAGGCTCCCCTAACCTTGCCGTCTGAGTCACTCTGTCGTTCCTGCTACACATTCCATGAGAAGGTGACCTAAAAAGGTCACAACAAGGAGCTTCATGGAAAAAGAAAACACTCAACACAGACATCTGTCAGGGGATATTCTCTTTGTCTGGTAGTGCTGGTCCCTTACTGCCCATGACAAGTTTGGTCTTGACAGTCCCTCACTAGCAACAGACCCATACTGGCGTCAAAGCTGACCTTCCGTGAGCTTTGACAAAGCTGATCTGACCCTGGACTTTTGAGAACCTTTTGAGAACCTTCACACCATGACAATGACTTGAGCAAAAATGCAAGCTGCACCTTCTCTAGATCTTTTCTATGGCCTTTTGTCTCGCAGACGTGGTGCTGATTTCACTCAATAATGGGTCACAATAGACGCCTCGGCCTGGATTTCATTCTAATGGATGCTGACGACATGCAAACAGAGGAAAAATAAAACTTGTGTATTTCAGCTAATTATGCTAAAACTTCAACTTGTGTACAAGACCTTCTGACTGGGGACGCTAAAATGTAGTGCTCTTTGTAGTGTTTAATAATGAAGCTCATTAAAATTCATGAGTGCGACTTTGCACATTTGACGTCGACATGCTGTGCTACCATTTAGGGATACATTATTTTGGTGTTTCATGTGCTTGGTCTCATCATCTTTTGCTTCTTTCTTTTCTCAAAACCTGTTTTTAACTTCAGTATTTTAATACAAAAGCACTGGCAAGATTATTTTATTGTGAAAAAAAACTCTGCAAAGAAATTGGGAAAACATTAGAGAGGTTGTGAAAGTGTGAGAGTGCGTTTGTCTTTGTGTTTTTGTATGTGAGCGAATGAACTGTGAACCGTGTGTGTGTGTTCATGAATATGCCATGAGTGATGCCAAGCTGAGTCTATTCCTGAGTCTGCCTGCTGGTGCTCTAATCAGCTGCTATAGTTCAGCTTGGCCTCTGTGAGAAATCAAACCACTAATAGACGTTTATTTTCCACCCAGCGCAAACCAATGAATTTACCCAGAGGCGTTCTGATTAGGGAAAAAAGTCAATTTCTTTCACATTGTCACTGAAATGGAGGAGTGGGGCATGAAAAATTCACATGGCTACAATTTGTATATCTTTATTGGGTTTAAATAATGTCATCAAACCTCTATATCTACTGATTTTAAGTAACAGACTTTGACTTTCAACTTTATTTGTCCTGAAAGCACCAGATTTCCTCCAAACTTCTTGTTGTTGTCCGATTTATGTTTGTGTTCAAAAACCCTGGAGAGGTTAGTGACTTTTCATGGTTGACCCTCAACCTAATTAATCATTCTTTGTCTTCATCTGCACCAAAGTTCATAATAGGGCTGCACAATGATGATGTAAAAATGATGCAAATAATATCACAAAGTCCTTATCAGTCAAAATAATCACAATCACTCAGCCCTATAGTCAACAACTGCTCCCACGACCACTACTACTATGACTACAGCTACAGTGGAACTACTACCAACACTTCACCAGTTGTTGTTAAAGGGGAACTGCACCAATTTAACACATGCAGATCAGTTTAGTAAGAGCGGGAGTCATGTCTGAGAAATAGCCGTGATTGTCATTAGGGTTACCTCAGCTTGGGCTTGGAGACATCACATGTTTGAGGGAGGCAGGGAGAGTCTCCGGGAAGACGATATCAAGTTACATTAAAGGAAATTAAGAATCCAGTGTTTTTGGCGCTTGATCATTTCTTGGAATTAAAAGTCAATACTTCTCAGCCTTCGCTCCACCAATTTTGACACATTTTTTCTGTCTCTCCCAAGTCCCCCAACGTCATGGAGTTGCAATACCGAATTGTTGGCCAACCCTTTTAACACCACAGACTAACTGGTGACATTGAAAGGTTCATTACATTTATTTATTTTTATAAATTGATTGTAGTTTCTGTTGTTTTTTGTGTGCGTCTGTTCTCATATAAGAACAATGTAAGTGTGTGAGCGTGTGTGTGCTGGAAATACACATATTACATTACAAGGATGTGTCTTTTCACTCATACAGTATGGGCTCCCAGGTTGTGTTGTCTGGTTTTGGAATGACTCAAAGTCAATATACACGTGCAGACATGCTCTCTCTCTCTCACACACACACACCCACACACACACACACACACACACACACACGCACACACACCTAATTAGGGTCTGTTTGTTTACTTTCCTCTCTTTTTTTCATGACTAAGCCGTTTAGCTAAAAGCCCCTTCATGAATTAATCGGACCTGACATGACCTGGAGTGCCTTTTCCTGATACGTGTCCAGGAGCATTTCACCTACCACAGTCTGGAAGCACGAGTGCAGATGTGTGAGGAAGGGCGGCTTGTCCTGTTGGGCCAGGACTCTCTTCTCCACCATGGTACATTCCACGTCATCGTCCTGGATCACCACGTCCTTCTTCAGGATCTTTATTGCGTACAGCTCTTCGGTGGTCTTCATCTCTGCCAGTATGACCTTCAGAGAGACAGTAGGAAAAGATCACAGCTATGTTTAACCAACTCTTTCTTGCTCCTTTAGCTCGCATTGTGTCTATTACCAGTGACACTTGGAGTGTATTTATATTTGTGCTGTTCCCAGCTGCCTCACCTTCCCGAAGCTCCCTTTCCCGAGCACAGCCAGGAAGGAGAAGTCGGTGAGTTTGACCTGGTTCAGGCTGATGAAGGGAGGCTGGCTGGAGTGGCTGCCGTCCGGCTCGGAGATCACCTTCTTACCTGGGCCGAGCTTGGCTTTCTGCACTCAGGGAACAAAGGGTGGTGTGTAAGAGATACACATCTTAAAAATGCACTTTGAGTAACAAACACACACACACACACACACACACACACAACAAAAAGCTTCACTGTGTTGTTCAGACAAGATGACGAGTTCCTGAATTCCTAATATGTGGACTTTGTTTTAAAAGTTATTGCATGAATCAAATTTAAAAGATACTGAACCAATGATAAACCTGGACGAAGCTTATTTCCAGACCAACAAATACGATTTCCCTGTTTGTTTGTTTATTTTGTATATATATATATATACACAC